AAATATAAGTAGTAAGAATTAACTAAGTATGTATTCTTCCTTTTCTAACACTATCGACTTGCCATACTACACTACCAGCATCAGAATTGAAATAATCTTTAAATGCGTCTCGAATTTGAGTTGCTTCTCGAGTGCTATTTCTACGTAGAGCATCTATATTTAAAAAAGCATTTTCTGGAACTTGATTAGTGTCTAAGTCGGGTTCAAACTCATTGTTTGTGCACAACATATTATGTAAACAGCAAGATGCGAGAACAATTTTATCAACAAATTCTGGTTGTACTTCAATGTGACCTCGGAAACATCTCCATCTTGCAGCTAGAATTCCAAAGGCATTTTCAACGACACGTCGTGTCCGCGATAATCTATAATTAAATATTGTATTAGGTTCATTGTCTCCTAAACTATTTCTGCTGTATGGACGCAGCAAATACGGTTTTAATGGAAACGCTTCATCTCCGACAAAGACATATGATGGTAACATCAGGATTCTGACATCATATTTCCTGAGTATACCATACTGAAGTTGGTCTCGAAACCAGCCTTTTAAATATTTTGAAATATTTAAAAGTTTAGATCTGTTAGAAACTTGTGACGGAATCCACTAATAATGTTGTTGACATTGAATCTAAAAATGAACTGATGACAGAATCTATTTCAAAAAACAATTTAGATATTTTAGAAAAATGTGAAGTAAATAAATCAAATTACCAATTATTACTTATTAACTTATACATAACTAGGTACATATTCACCTGAAACTATTCTACATGTGTTAACAGCTAGAAACTATAGAGTTATTTGAAGATTTGGAAGAAGAATGTGTTGAGTGTGTAGGCGGATACGTTGCAAATCGGTTTTATGTCAAATATCCATATCTAACTAATGAATCAGGTGATTCTAAAGTTATTGATAGTTGGACTAAATTTGTTTCAAATGGAAACCTTAAATTACCTTCTGATAATCACCTACGAACCATGAAAATAGTAGAAATAGACTTTAGGAAGCTTCACCGAAATTGCTTAAATAAAGAAATAATATTAAACGGTTAAGTAATAAAGTAGCCGTAGTTGGTCGCTATGCCACGGTTAGCCTCACGCATTCGCACATCAAACATCAATGTCAGAGACTCGTCGTTTATATGTGCTTCAATACATCGTGACATGACTCCATCCATAGTATAGGATCTAAGGTGATAACTCAGAAATGTATTGTATGATATATGTATACGACCAATGAGAGACGGAGAACGTAACACACAGTAAAAATTGGGAGTACTTCCCGAGGATATGCGTATCACAATGTTTGCGCTGACATACCTATATATTTTGTCATTTAGCTAACCATATTATTCGATTATTTATTACGTGATCGACTGTCAATGGTAAAATTATTTTTTATAACGACCATCTAGGAATATATGTCACGATCCACTGGTTGGCCGTTGGCGACCCCTTGTCTACAGCAAATTGAACAATTGAGTACTTTATACTTATTAAATTAGATTACACCAGACATTCGATTACTAGTTACAGTATTGCGCCTAAAAGTGTTAACAATTTTCAGGTAATTTTTTTATACTGTGCCAAACGGGCCCCATCCCGTCGGTTATGCCGTTTTAAAAATTTTAAAGCCAGCATTGAAAACTATATTGCTATTGTTGATACAAGTAAGTCCGAAATTGAGAATCAAGCTGATAAGAATGTGCCTCAAGTAATAGGTAAATGTTATTTTCATATAAATTAATTTTTTAAAATTTTTTCTCTCTAATTGTTTAATAAACTTATTAAAAAAATATTACAATAGGAATTCCCACTTCAATAGGAATAAGTGAATTTATTGTTTTAATTTTTATTCTTCATGAAGTATTATGTATAATAAATGTGTTGAGCAACCAACTACAGAATAATGATACTACATTAGGAAAATCAGTAAATATTATTAACGTTAACTAAATCAATTTTCTTTTTTGAATAATAATTTTAATTATTAAAATCATTTAAATTTAAATTTAATGTAATATAATTTTTCAAAACTCACTAAACAAGTATAAGAGTAATATGAATACAACTTTTGATTATTTTATAACTAAAAATTTACATAAACAATAATACAATGTATAATAAACACATAACTCAATTAATAGAACAGCAAATACTTTTATAAATTTTAGACGTAGAAAAAAATATTGACTATAATAACTACGTTAATAATCAAACTATATTTAAAAACTTAAAAATATGATACAAAACATTCAATAAATTATATTAACTATTTAACCAAATTAGTTTAGTGACCAACTACCAAGTAAAAGATCACTGAACAGAATTTGTATTCTTCAAATACATGCAAATGTTAAAAATCGAGTTCAGGCATGATTAAACTAAATTAATTATATATATTTTATCTATAAAGATATCTAGGTACACTTCGACGAACACTGGTTCTTTTATAACTATGACTGCTCAATTTTAATCAAAAGACCAAACTCAACTTAAAACCATTGTTGTATGCATTAAAAATTGGAAGCAAGTCATACTGGTGAATATTTAGCTGAAATCATGACAAATGAATTCAAAAAATGTAATGTCTACTCAAAAGTGATTGCGATTGTAACTGATGGTGGTTCTAATAATAAGTCAGCAGTTAGAACCCTGGGAATTTAGCATACTCCGTGAACAGTCCAAGAATTGAATTTAGTTGTTCAACAGGCTCTGCATCTTACAGATGACGACAAAGCGGGAGACAGTCCAAACAATGCTGATAAAATGAAATACTTTTTTTTAAATGTCGGAGAATTGTTGGGTCTTTTAAACGGAGTGAGGTTGGTAACATTATTAATGGAAAAACAAAAACAACTCTGTCATGGACATATTTTAAAACTAAAAAATAATGTCTGAACAAGATGGAATAGTATTCTATTTATGATCGAGAGATAAGTGAAATTCAAAGAGGTATAAAAGGTTTAATACACAGGTTTGCAATATCATTATTATTTTTTTTTTTTACTGTTTACTTATGTTAATTTTTTTATGTGATTTTTTTATATTAATATAGAGGTAAGCTATATTATTATATTTTGAGGTACATTAAAGTTTTAGAACCTTGATTTTTCGTTCTGTGTACTTCCCAATGGACAAACTGTACGTTACCTACGGTTAATTTACAAACACATTCTAGAATAACCAATCAATCAACTTCACTACATCCACTATCACTAATAGACCCATCAGATGGGTGTAGTAATGAAGGTGATATGAGTAGTATTAGCAATTACTACACGACTTTTTCAGATACAAATTGATGTATAATATATTAATGTTTAATTGTATGATATTTGGTATTTTTTTTCAAGTTGATATTTTTATTTTATTATTTTTTATAGGTTTTTTTATAGAATTGTGGAACGATATATATACTTTTTTAATGGTCTACTATTATTATTATGATTATTATTCAAGTTGTAATTTTTATTGATTTTTAAATATACAAAGTTATAGCTCGAATGCTCAATTAGATTTATAAATTACTATAAATTGTACATACCTTTACATATGTTTTCAGCACCTCGATTAGAGCCACACAAACTTCTGGGATTATTTTTGAAATCATGTTTCGATATTTTAAATAGGTACTATAAGCTTGTATATGAATCACCCGTTTCAAGAAATCTCAAATTTAACGCTAGTTTTATTTTCACAGTTACCACAGGTATCATATTTATGTCTTGCTTTATTATTTTTGGACCAATGAACCAAATGGACCGTTTTACTCAATTTTCCCGGCCGACCATACATTTCTTCTTGAATGCCTAATACACAATACATTTTAAATTACACACATAAATACATTAATGTCTAAGGTACATTTATTTCACCTACTTTGAAAGCTTGTAAGCTTTCTTCGTTCTGATTCATTCACACCGATTGTTATCAGGGAATTCAATTCACTTGAATACTAAAATAACTTTCATCATTAATCTAATGATCAAATGCATCAGAGTTTATATATCATGTCATATTTAAATGATTATCAACAACATTGTCGTGTGAAGAGACCGCAAAAGCTATAAAATCATTTTCTTCGGTCATATTAGCTGACTTGTCTGTATTGTCTCGTCGTTTCCATTTTCAACAATCTTGCTTCTTATGCCCCGGTATATGACAAACATTACACTTAAAAGGAAAACGATTTGTGAATTTGTCGAAAACAACTTTAACACTTGAGTTATCTTTTCCTGTTGAAGATCTGGAATTCCTTTTAATTTCTTCATCTAAAAGTCTCGATTTTACAAATTCTAGTGTTATTTTGTCAGATGACAAAGTTTCAATTATTGCTGTAGTCACCACGTAAAATGAATTAGGTAAAGTCAAAAGGAGCATGCATGCAATTAGATTATCATCTTATTTTCCACCAGATAGTCAAACTTGTCTAAGTAAATCCTCAAACGGACTCAGATGAGTTTTCATTGACTCGTCATCAATTCAGCCTATCGGTTGGGCTATCAGTTACTTAAAAATAAAGTTGAAATGTTAGGTATTAACACCGTAATTTGACTGGACCTAGTAGCGTTGAACGAAAACGCATTATTTGGTAACATATCCACGGCGTTTTCATAGAAAGAAAATTTAGTTTATAGCCTATTCAATGTAACTTCAGGTTTATTTTTCTACAAATATTGTGTAAGACTGATATTTATCAGATACCGTATCAAACTCAAATTTCAACTGATGGCACTTTGGCTTATCAGGCCAATATATTTTAGGTCCATAATTTTAATTTGAGTAGGAGAATTACTAATTAGCATATTATGTTACTGATATTATGTGATTATTAAAAGCATAATGATATGAGTTTTGAGAGTAATCTTCTGAAGTGAAATTTCTTTGCATAGGGTATGAAAAAAAGAAGATTCTCGTAGTCCCCACTAAATCTCAAATGCTATTGCGTCGATGCTCACATATTAATATGACAAGATACGCAATAGCACAAACAGATATTTGAGTCTGAACTACAGCTATAGTCATTTTGAGAAATTTGGAGGTAACATTTAAATCATTGATACAACTAAAAATTTAAAACACTCAAATGCAAATTGTCTCTAAAACCCCTTCTAAAATATACGTAAATCATTATAAATGTTAATACAAAAATACCCTTCTTTTCATTACAAATTAACTTAAGAGAATAAATAGTCAAAAATGTAGAACAATTTAAGGATTTGAAACGTCACTATATGTCTATACTATGCGTTTGGTCTTTTAATCACTGCACAGAATTAGAAGGGTACCATCATTCGATATTAAACCCTATAAATTATTCAAAAACAATTTTAAAACATTTAATTTCTTGTTAAAATTGTATCGACTGTTATGAAGATCATTGATTTGAAATGCTGTATTTTAGTTTTTATTAATGGTTCCTGCAGCATCCTGACTTCCACCAATCCAGATTATGTTGTCACTTGTGGTAGGTTTTATATTTGATTAATTTATTCACGTCGTTACTAAAGTAGGCAGTGCCATATTCTCTTTGATGACGTTGCGTTTTAGAATTTTGACTGTAGGTTGAACTGTTATCGTAGTCAATAATGTAAAATAATTTTGTTATCTTCCACTTTCAGTACCTACATTTTTGTGATAACTCTCCTTTTATCCCCCTGACACCATTTCTGACTTTTCCGAATTGATTATCGAAACTCCGCACCCAGCTTTTTATTAATACTTCTGGGATAGGTTTAGGCTCTTTTGTCTGTTACAAGGATTTTTCGATCCAATACAACAAGGTAAATTTAATTTAGGACCATATTTGTTTCTTTTGGTTACTGTCTTTGACATTTTCAATGCGCAAGAATTTTTGGAAACGTTTTTTTTGGTCGAAAATCGCTGTTTCTTTTTACATGTTTGAGATGTTTTTAATTTATGGTCCATTTCAGAATCCATTTCATGTTGAACATTATAGTCATCACTATAAAATAAATAATTTTAAGTATCGATATTCTGCATATAATACTACATATAATATTTTGTATGTGCTTACGTGATTAACTGTAGATTTTCATCAGACTGATTCCCATTAAATTTTTCCTTATCTTTCATACTATCACTTGCAGAAACTTTTTGTTTTTGTTCACTTTCAATTATTTTATCCTTTACTTGTATAGTTTCATTAAGTTGCTCAATTGCCATTTTATATTGGTGTTCTATTTTAACGTTAATATTTATTTTATTATAAAAACTATATGTAAATAAAAATTATTTTACCTCGTATTTGGGAGTTTTTCAATTCATATTCTTTGTACAGTATTGCTGTTTCATACTTTTCTAACTGAGCATTAGCTTCATCTAATTTCTTTTGAAATTGTTCCTTTGTGTCATCCAGACATTTGTTTATTATCGTTTCTTTATTGTAATATAGCTGTTCAGTGTCACATAACTCTTTCCTTGCAGCCTTTTCTTTTTTTTTAAACAGTAGTTTCATTTCATTTAGTTGACATTGAAGATTTTCTTTGTCAAACAAAAAACCAAAATATTTTGCTGTGTTTTTTGATTCTCCAGAACAAGAATAGTCATCAGACGGGTTAACACAAATAGACGTTTTCTTTTGATTCATCTGGCATGGGTTAATGCTAATTTTATCGGAATCACATGAGCTAATGAAGTTGTCACACGATCTTGGGTTATTTATAATTAAGTCACACTGTTCCAATTTGCATGGATAATAATTTCTTGGAATGGTGTGAAATTTTGAGTCACAATTTGTTGATGTTGTTGAAGGTTGACATCTAAACGGACACATATATGTTTGTGAACCAACGTCAACTAGTTTCAAATGTATTGTCTGTATGCCCTCTTCAACATTGCTCTCAATGTTACATGAAACAATATCGTCATCACTGAGCCTGCAATCACGAAATACATTGTTTTATGATAAATATAGTATAATTCATCTAAACTAGTATAACACTAGCAGTAGGTAAGATGAAAGAAATATAGGCAATCCAACTGTGGCGGATATCTATTCAGTTTAAGAATTAAGAGAACGTTGTATCTGCATGTGTAGTCTCCGTCTTACACACGTACGACATAAAAAATTGTCGTTCACCACATTCAATAGTGTCCTATTATTTTTGATTTTGGAGTGTATTGACCTATCATATAATTTAAAGGTAAGATTATTTTCTAGACTCCCCCCCCCCCCCACATAGGTTTTTCTTCATATTTTATTTGTATGTGTGTTATGACCCTTTTCAAACTACATTTTAAAACGATAATAACTAATTTAAAAATAATAATATCTATAAAAGGCTACCGGGGTCCTGGATAATAATCTTACCTTTAAATTTTATAATAGGTCAATTTACTCTAATATCAAAACTAACAGCACACTATTGAATCTATGGAAAGAAAATATGCTATATCGTACTTGTGTAAGATGCAGACAAAATAATAAGAAAACTTGTTATGAACGCGCATGTCTCCCCACTACCGTTGGTTACGATTGTTTCCGAAAGATCGATTAGGGGGGTCCGCAACATACTACAGTCAGCAGCATATGACGTGACGTGTACTCTTATTAAAAAAGCTACTTATTTTTTTTTACGTGAACCAATATCAGTCAGAAATAAACGAGCATGTGGTTATGATTTTAGTATTTATAATAACGGGTTACTTAAATCTAAAACAAAATCTAAATAGACGTTTATTTTTCACTCAACTAGACAATTCTAATTATAGGAATACCTCGCAAATGATTACCTCGATTTTCACTCTGAAAAATTTCATCATTTTGGTATATTTCTGTTTTACCAGATATCCTTTTATTTGAATTTTTTTCGTTTAAACGAATGTCTTGAAAACGATAGTAAGGTCAGAATTTGCCGCTCGAAATAAGTTTTGAAGTTATGGCTATTATAAGTCCAAGATTCACCCCAAGTGATTTCACATAACAATTTGAGGGATATTTTCTATAGTAATTGTCCGTGTAATGATAACATAATATTATCATTAACATTGTTATGATAATTAAAGGTTATGTTTTTATATATTATAAGTATCTTCTACACAGTCGTAAATCTCGTGCTTTTTAATACTTTATTAATTAATTATTTGTTATGACATTGTTGTCAAAAAAACATTATTATGTTGGTTTTTAATACAATATATTATTTAATTTTGTGAAATATAATAAAAACACATACAGAATATAACAATCTGGGCGGGGTGTATATGATATATCAAAACAAAATAAAAGAGCCTAATTCAGATTTCAACATAGTATTCAGTATGCAGGACTACATGCGTTCAAATAATTGAGAAAAAAGAAAAAAAAGGGTATTCAGTAAATGGAAAAGTTCCTTGAAAATATGTTTAAAAAACTAGTTGTTATTCCAAAATAATAATTTTCATACATCCTATAAAGTATTGTAAACATAGGTAATACGATACTACAATTTACGAAACCAATAACCTGTTATGATCAGCGATCTGACATTTTTCCTGGGGACATGTACATTCATATTTTATACTACAGTATTTTTCATTGATTTTCTCTTTCAGATACGTTTCTTTTCTTAGTTTCAACTTGGTCTCTTCTAGTTCATGTTCAATACATGTTAGTTTGTCAGTCGCTTTTTCTAATTTCGTATTTATACATTTTATCTCTAAATGAAGATTGCTTATTTCATCGTTTGCAATCGATAGTTTTTCGTTGCATGTAGCTAACTCATTTCGCGCCTGACATTCTTTATTATTGACACATATAATCTTTTCATTTAATTCGTTGATGTTTTCTGACAATTTACATTTTTCGTTTCTCAGATTATCGCATTCCTTAGATAAATCGTCGCATATCATGTCACGTTCTTTCGAAATTGCGTTTATTTTAATTTCCAATATTTTAATAATCTTTTGTGATTCTGATAGATCTTTATCGCTTAATAAACATTTATTTGTTAAAACTTCATTTTGAATTTTATGAAATTGCACTTCTTTTTCAAAGTTTTCACAATCATGTTCTAGTTGTTGAATTTTTTGAATCTGACAATCAATTTTATTTTTTAGATATTTTTCGGCATCAGCAAGTTCAGATCGGGTAATCACTAATTCACTTTTTTGTGTTTTAATCGTGCTATTTAATTCATTAATTTTTTGTTCTGCTTCACATTTCTCATTCTTAAGTTTGGAAATTTCCTCCGTATATAACATTTTGTGACCTTCGATACCCTTTATTACGGTTTCCAAATTATATATTTGTTTGCTTAAGTCATCGATATAAATAGCTTTCTTACAGTTATAATTTTTTTCATTCTTTAAATCATTTTCAAGATAACAATTTTGTATGATTAAATCGTTACATTTTTTGTTACAACTATAATTTAACTTTTCTAATTTTCCCAATTTGTTTTCCAAATTGGTTAATTTAAATTCGAGCTCTTGTTTAATTATAATTCCAGCTTCAATAATTTGATATTTTTCACTTAATTTCCTTTTAATACATTTATTTTCGTCAATCCTCATGTTTAAACAGAATTTCACATTGTTCAATTCTTCTTTCATCTCGTCTGATTTCTTCAATAGATCATTATATGCCATTGTTTTTAACAACAAATCTTCTGAAACTTCATCGATATTACAACTTAAAAAATTATTATGTTTATTGATTTGTTCAAGTTGTTCTGCCAGTAAAGATAAATCTATTTTCATGCTGCATAATTCAGACTCTTTATTTTTGAATAACTCTTGTTCTTTTTTTAGTCTTTCAGAGCAACAAATAAGGTTCTCTTGATTATGTTTTGATGCTAAACTATGTATTTCAATTTCTTTAGTTAAACAGCAAATAGTAGTTTTCGATCGCTCCAATAATTTGTTGGTTGGATCGCATGGCTCTTTTGAACAACAGCATTCCTCAATTTCACGCAACAATTGTTGTATTTCACAAGAATCAATATTTTTATTTTTGCATTCTGGCAGTAATTCATTTTCACACGGATATTTAGTGATCACAGAACTTGAACAAAAATTTTGATCGGGTGTAACCCCATACTTAAGCTCTTCGCATTCTTTTTTGATAGTCTTTGTTAGACTTTCCTAAACATTTACAAATCAATTAATAATTTTATCTGAACTATATACTAAGGCGTAGGGAAATTGGCGCTCCCATCGCCCGGTACTTAAGTATCGCAATAGCCACTTGCTGGTGGAAAGTTCCAGGCGAACGATTCCAGCAAGGAGAGGGGAGAAATCCCCCAACCCGTTGGGCCCTCCATTAATGGGGGTTTGGCGTGAGGCTAACCACCTCACACAGGAAAAAATTATGGGTTCCAGAACAACACAAAACCAAGCCTCGGATGAAAAATTATTTGGATAAGTTTAATCTCGGAACCTGGAATGTGCAATCGCTGAACAAAGCGGGCGCACTAACAGTTGTAGAAACTAATTTAGAACGATATGGAATTGCAATAGCAGCAATTCAAGAAGTTAGATGGACAGGAGAAGGAAATTTAAAATCAAAGAAACATACTATCTTTTATAGTGGTGGACAAAGACATGAGCGAGGAGTAGGATTTATTGTTAACAATGAATACTTACCATACATAAAAAGATTTGAGCCGTAAAATGAAAGACTATGTTAAATCCAAGTTGAATGTAAACATATGAATTTAATACTGATAAATGGCTATGCACCTACAGAAGACAAGCAACAAGACGAGAAAGAAGCTTTTTATAAAGACCTGAACACGATATTCGAATCAATTGCCAAACGCCAACCGAAGATTATCCTTGGAGATTTCAACGCTAAAATAGGAAAAGAAGAAATGTACAGACCAACAATAGGGAAAGAAAGCCTCAATTCTCATTCTAATGAGAATGGAAACCGACTAATTAACTTTGCAATCTCTAAAGGACTAAGGATAAGTAGCACGTGTTTCCCACACAAAAACATCCATAAAGAAACATGGGTCTCACCCGGAGGTAGTACCAAAAACCAAATTGATCATATCATGACAGATATGAAGATAAACAATATTATAGCAGATGTCAGGAGCCATCGTGGAGTGTTTGCTCAGTCAGATAATTTCTTAGTTAAAGCTAAAATACAAATTAAACTACCTCGTAAATGGAGAAAAGAATAATAATAGAAGAAAAAGTTGATATAGATAACATAAAAAACTCTGAAATGTTAAAAGAATACAGAAATAAACTAAAGAACAAATTAAAGGACGGAATAGAGGCAGAAAATATTGAAACCCGTTGGAAAAAATTAGAGGGAATAATAAAAACAACTGCTTTGGAACACCTAGGAAAAAAGAAAAAAATACAAAAGCATAAATGGTTTAGCAATAAGTGTCAAAGTGCAATTGTAGAAAGGGATAAAGCGAGATCATTGATGCTTACAAACCCAAACACAGAAAACAATAACAATTTTGCCCAGAAGCTTAGAGAAGCTAAACGTAAAATAAGAAGGGAAAAACGATTATGGGAAAAGGAAAGAATAAAACAGATTGAAGACAACAGGACGAACCCGAAACTCTTCTTCAAACAAACAAAAAAATTAAAAACGGGGTATAACCCCAGAACAGAAATAATGAAAGAAGAAAATGGAGAACTTGTAACAGAAGGAGAAGAAATTGCAAAACAGTTTGGGAAAATGTTCGAGGAACTACTCAACCCACAAACGCACCAAGACCATGCACAAATTGAGTACTATACAGCAGAACCTGAAGATGTAGAACCAACGGACGACGAAGTTAGAATGATCATAAACACACTTAAAAACAATAAATCGCCAGGTGAAGATGGCTTAGCTTCAGAACTCTTAAAGTATGGTGGTGAGGAACTAATAAGAGAAGTAGGGAAATTAATCAGAGATGTATGGCATAAAGAAGAAATACCAAAAGAATGGCAACTAGCAATAATATGTCCAATTTATAAAAAGGGAGACAGATCAAGATACCAAAATTACCGAGGAATATAGTTGCTAAATACAATGTACAAAGTATTGTCAGGTCTCATACTAAACAGAATAAAACCTTACATAAAAGATATCATTGGGGACTACCAATGTGATTTTATGAGTGGTAAATCCACCATAGATCACATTTTCACTGTTAAACAACTAGTTGAGAAACACTATGAATTCGACAATGATCTACATCTACTATTCATTGACTATAAACAGGCTTATGATTCAATTAATAGAGAAGTATTATGGGACACACTTATAACCTTTGGGATACCAGCTAAGATAGTGAAAATGATTAAATTATGTATGAATAAAACCAGATGTAAAGTTAGATTCAATCAGCATATATCAGATGCATTTGAAGTTAAGGCGGGACTTCGACAGGGAGATGCCCTATCCCCAATACTCTTTAATATAGCTTTAGAAATGGTAGTTAGAAAAACTCAAAAAAAATATGATGGGGTAAACTTGGAAGAGAACAGAAGACAATGCGGAGTACTAGCGTACGCAGATGATATTATCATATTGGGATCAGACAGTCAAGAAGTCAAAGCAGGAACCAAAGAACTAATAATAAACAGCAAAGACATTGGATTACAAATAAACGAAGGGAAAACCAAATATATGGTAATATCTAGGCGAGAAAATCACGAGGAAAATTTAGAAGTTGAGAATTATAAATTTGAAAGAGTGCAAAATTTAAAATACCTGGGTGTTACAATAAATATCAAAAATAATAATCACGATGAAATTAAAATAAGACTAACTGCAGCAAATAAATGCTATTACGGAGTAACGAGTATACTAAAATCAAAACAGGTATCACTCAAATCAAAAATTAAAATATACAAGGTAATTATCAGACCAGTCCTTCTATATGCGTGTGAAACATGGCCAACGACTAAAGGAGACGAAGAAAAATTAGCAATACTCGAAAGAAGAATATTAAGAAGAATATTTGGGCCAAAAATAAATAACATAACACAACAATATGAGAAAAGAAACAATATAGAAATACAACAGTTATATAAAGAGCCAGACATAGTAGCAGTATTAAAAAATAAGAGAATGGCATGGGCCGGTCATGTGTGGAGGTCAAATGGTCTTATGAAAGAAGTTTTAAAATGGAAACCCCAGGGGAAAAGACCACCTGGCAGGCCGAAACAAAGTGGAGAAGAACTTAGCAGAGATCGGAATACGAGATGGAGAAACAATAGCACAAGACAGAGACAGATGGAAGCAAGTTTGTGTTGCGGTAATGGGCCTCAATGGCCTTTAAAAACCGAAAAAGAAGAAGATCTGAACTATATACAACATTTAATATATTAAATAACACATACCTGATTCTTAACAAATTCCTTAGAATCTAAGTGCTGCGTTTTAATATTTTGATCGTTCTCTTCTGATAACAAATACATGTTTCCAAAATTATTTTTTTCACATTTGTCAGTTAGCGTTTGAATCTCACGAACAAAACTGTCAATGATGATTGATTAATAATGGTTAAATAATAAATTGTTTGAGATTTTATAGTTTTAATATTTACTGGTTTTCATTTTCTAAGACTTGTTCACGGATAATTAAATTTTGGTTTTCTGTTTTTAATTTCAAATTTTGATCAAATATATTACAGTTATCAGAGAAGCAAGCAGATTGATCTAAACATTCGGTTTTCATACAATTATCCATAACTTAAACTTTAATATTGACTATGAACAATTTTAATTTGAAAATGTAGAGAATTTATCAAACAATTTGTTGTTTATAGATAATAATTATAATATTGTTTGTCTCTATAGAAATTATATTTCAAAGTTGTTTGACTATTGATAAGATGTTTAGTATTGCCTTCCACGAGTATGATTGAATACTTAATTATTATTAACGCTGTGAGTAGTATTAAATAAACCATTGGAAGTTTGAGAATTAGAATTATTACTTAAATATTATCGAATGTTTATCTCTACATTTGATTCTCTGGTAAGTGATTTGTGAATTAGCTTACAAATTACAAGTATAATACAATTTTGTGACTGAAACATATTCCTACAGTGTAATAATTAACATTTTTATATATCAAAATACACCATTAATTGGTCTTACGTCTCACTCACGCTTATTGGTCAGACTTCTACAGTGTGACAATTTGTACGAAATCTATGTGCAGTTTAAGAGATAAGTAGTTATTGTAGTTTACCTTAATAATGAAAAATATGAGTTTAAATGAAAAATCTCATTTAGTACTCCTAATGGTAGGAACTCAGAACATCCTCAAAGTTTGGACTGCGCAGTCCGAAAATCCTCTTCGAATTTCAATAAGGAAAAATTCTGTAGGCCAGACTGTACAGTTCAAATTCGCACGTGTGGAGGCACTGTGAGGTCCGCCTTAAGGATTCATGAGATATCACTATTATTTTAATTTTGTTTTAACTGGCAAACCAACGTTTATAAATATTTAAAGTTAATCATTTCCTCTTCGTTTGTACCTAGCCATTTAAAATGAGCCGTGAATTTATTGACGAATTCATAAAATTGTATGAAACCGAGCATTGTCTTTGGCACATCAAATCAATAGATTACCATGACGGGAACAATTAAGATTCTGCGTATGCCAAATTAGTCAACAAATAAAGGGAAATTGAATCAAATGCCACTAAAGACAGCGTAATAAAAAAAAAAAAATAATATGATAAGCGCTTATAGAAAGGAAAACAAAATAATAAAAGAATCCATTAAGTCTGGTGCATCAACAGATACCCGTGTACAAACCAAAATTGTGGTACTTCTCATTGTTGAGGTAAGCTTAATATATTTTTTCATGTAATAGTTCCAATTCCTTTTTGCCAAATTAATTAATTGATATTTGTGTTTATAGTTTATTTTACTACTATTCATTAACTGATTTTGAAAACTTTTGATTTAGTTTTCCCTATGACCAAAATACTCCTCGAACTTCACATTCCAACAACAAAGACAACGAAATTAACAGTGTTGATAGTGACTACAGTGTTTTAGAAAACGTGAGTAATAATTTTGATTCAGTAGGAAATATAAAGCAATTAAATATATATAAATATATATATTGTAACGGGTCGTGTACATTATACGTATTTTGTATATATTTTACGTGTATTTAAATATTTTAAGTATTTTTTATTTTTTTTATTTTTTATTATCTTATAAATTAAATTGCTTTATATTTTATGAGTGTTGACCTAGTAACACAATATTATTTTAAATTACAAAAACAATTGGGTTTATTTTCAAATGTTATAAATTTTATTTGGTTAATGTAACAATATTTAAATGAATATTAGAAAATAATACAATTTTAAATACAGTCTTGTTGCCAAGGAACTTCACCTTCATTAGCGAAATATCTCATAAATTTCTCACGCGATTCTTTGGCAGTTCGAGGCGGATTTCCCGACTGATTGTTTCTGTTAAACCATAGGTAATGATCGTTTTGTGCCCGTATCTCATTGAAATTGTACCTTCACTTGTATTTTTCCGGTCAAAGCACTAGGAGGGGCATACGAGTTATGTACCATTTTTAGTAAAAAAATATGTAGTTTACAGCAGGCCATAACGATGGAATTGATGTGTTCTGGTGTCAAGTTGATTGCCCTTTGAAATATCCTGAATCGTGCCACCAAAATGCCGAATGCATTTTCAGTAATGCGTCAAGCTCGGAACAGTCATTAAATATCCATCGTATGTCAGAATTTAGTTGAGCTTATCGGAATGGTTTCATATTTTCTGTCAAAGGGAAAGCATCATCCACGACAAAAACTTAGGGAACATTAATATCAAAGTTTCTGATTTTATCAGCCTGAGGGATGTTTAAGAATTTTTTCTCAAGTTTTTCATAAAATTTCGTGTTTTTCAAAACTCCGCAGACTAAAATTCTACCGTTTGTACCAAAATCACACATTATGAACTGATAATTAGCGTCAGCTATAGCAAGTAAAATCATACCATGTCTTCCTTTGTAGTTATAGTAATTTGACCCACTTCCAGCAGGAGGTACGATGGTGATATGTTTTCCGTAGCCCCTAGACAGTGGGGAAAGTTCCATTTTTTTTATCAAAATCATTTGAAATATCCTTCCATTCTTTGGCCGCCTGAGGCATCTACAACAATAAAATGGAAATAAATGCTTAGTTATTCCTCCCGACCCCCCCCTCCCCGTTCAAGTGCTGCAAGTGAAAAAAATTCAATATAGTGACACAACCAGTGATTTGGAAAAAAAAAGAAAGTACAAGCAGAAAAACAAGAAGCTTTGGCAAATAAAACCTTATTACCAAAGCTGTAAAGGAACATTTTAAAAACCTCGTACTACAGAAGATCGTGAAATACTATTACGAGAACCGGTTTTAATTCTTTTGAGGCAAGAGAAACTTCTTTAATTTGATTACTAGTTGATGGTATGGTCAAAATAAGAATAAATAATTTATAAGCTTCAGGTAAAATGTCTTTCAATGCATCTTGTTCAATAATTTTCACCGTGTCATAAATGTGTAATAGATTTTGATATTTTATATCACTGTACAAAACTTCTAATTCAACATTTAATGTATTTATACTAGAAAATATATTAGAATAAGTTGATTTCAAATTATTTAAAGAATTTTCAGGAAATCTACAAGAATATTTTTAAATTTTGTTACATCAGCTAACTGTAAAAAAAGTAATTAAGATTATTAAAATAGTAAAAAAATTGCTAGAGTGGAATTTAGTGAAACTTTTAAACCAAAATATGTGGTATCAGTCAAAAAATTATAGTTGTTTTTTTCGCATTATCATGTCATTCATTTAAATTGTCAATAAAATCTTTGATTACCTGTCAGAATTGATCAATGATTTTATTAACACACGTGTAAAAATAAAGCAAGATTTTATTATGACAACTATGGTCAATACCTACTTTACATTCAGGAGTTTTTCTAAGACTATTGCTAGGCATTCAGAATTAGCCTGAATTAAACTATTTATTCGGCGGATAAGTATAACAGATGGTTCACAATTAATTAAATCATAATTGTTTTCTCGATAAATTTCCATTGCTATAGCAGTTTTTTCACCAAAAATATTGTAAAATAAAATTATTAACTTATATCTTAAATGAAAAAAAACTAATACGTACACGGTATGCTCTGCCAATATTCATTTTTTGATAGGGTTTAGGATGTACGTCATCATTACTTAAACCAGGACATATTTTTAAATTAAAACCAAAAGGATTTTCAGAAGTAATTATGACATCCCAATGTTTTAGCTTCACTATTACATCTGGTGTCTGTTAATCAGTAGAACAAGTAAAGTTAAATGAAACTATATGATTATATTTGAGTGTTAACATAATGTATCTATAAAGTTTGCAGACCAGAATTTTGCAATGTGTAATGAATTGTAATGAATTGTTTAATTTATATTTTAATTAATTGATTTTTGACAAATAAGACTATATTTATGTTAAATAGAATTATAGCGTACCTATGTATAATTTAAAAAATACTTGGTAATTAAAAATAAATAATGATATAGAAATAAGAAGTATATATCAAGTATAAATCATACTTAGACATATTTAGCCTAAATAATTTAGGTGTATGATAATATATTAATATGGTAGGTAAATAACATAGATATGATAGAGTATTAGTTATAAAACAAGTTGGGTATTAAGCATTAAGCCATTTAAAAAAAAAAATAGAAACTAAGTTAAACAAATAATAGAACTTTGATCTAATATTAAAAAATATTTAATTTTATTACCCAAAATTCACTTTGTTTTACTATGCAATTTCTCAAATTTTTCATGAGGTGGGTGGGGAAAATCTGATAAAAATCATAATCTTCTTAAATCTTAATGAATCATAAATGTATCATAACTAACATTTTCAGACGAAATTTGAAACTTTATCCACCTACTTCAATTCCATGTAGTACCATTAGTTGCAATGGCATCTACATGGAAAACAGACTTCTCCAAAAGAATAACACATTCCATAACAATCTTGTGCAACACTGTACTTGAAGCACAATCTTTGCTCAAAAAAACTACAAATGCCTAAACCCATTTTCCTCGGAATGGTTGGTACATGAAGACCAAGACAAGCACGTACTGCTTCTTGTTGACTCTCAGGCAACCAACTATTTCATTTTCAATTATTGCTGAAGATGCATTAGCACATTTCTGTTTTAATAAGCCTACCATTTCTTTCAACTTTAACACCAAGAAGAATATAAGTACCCAGTTATTGGATTTGAAATTTAATAGTTGTAAATACAACTTAGTAATTAATATTTAACTAAAGTTTTTACATTTGCAAGGACTACCTTTATAAATTAAAGATTATATTAAAATGCACACAATTATATTTTAAAAATACTCAAATACTTTATAGCACTAAAAAACTACATTGGTACATACTTTATTATTAAGTCTCCTATTCTTTCGAATAATGTTTTTGACTTGACCATTGCTCTTCAGTTTTTTTTGAATTTATGTTTTATTTCTCTATGTATTAAAATAGATATTCGCTGAAGATCTAGTATACTTTTTCTTTCTTTAGAGCATATATTGCAACGGACGTCCGATAATGAAGTGTCTGGTTTCTTTACATTAACATAACCAGTGCATGCATCTGACCGTGGGCTACAAATATACAAGTAAAAACTATACA